TAATAGACGGCCGGGGAGAAAAGGAATGCCGGTGAACCGCGATAATTCCTCCACACGTTCGTTGGCCAATAATCGGAAGGAGGGTGGAAAGCTTTTCATTCGCTAATGTCTGTTCTTATGTTACGACGAATATCGAAACGGCGATGAATTTTTTTTTTTTTTTTTTTCTTTTTTAACATTCTTTCCATCCGACAATTTTTAACATCCGATCGTTTACAGCGTTCAAGCTTCTTTATCGTAAGTTTTTTAGATTCGTGTTGTCTCAAGGATAACTTGGGAATGGTCGATTTTTATAATTTCTTTCGTAATACGTAAGATGGATCGATTATGCGTGTTTCCTTCGCGAGGAAGACGTCGAAGGCAATACTTTTATTCACGAGATTCGCGAGTGTCCCATAGTGGTTCGAATGATAGGACTTAACTGGACAAAATTTATTTTTTCCCGATTTTGATGGAGATTTAATTTTTAGAAAACAATATTAATTATAAAATATAAAAATGTGACTAAATATATAAAAAAATTAACATTAATATGGAGTAAAAAAGAAATACGTGATATATAAAAGGTATCTATACAAATATACGAATATTTGTGATTTGAGAGTAACCATGCAAAAAATCTCGCAATTAACTTAGAAAGCGCCTCGAATTTGAAAAATGTGCAATAAACTGGATCTTGAAAATTGAAAATGGTATTTTAAAGAAACAGATGTTAAGGAAAAAATGCTTATTAAAAAAAAAAGTTATGGCTATTCGCTACGGGATGTCTTCGATAATCCTATATAAATTATCCGATATGGTTCAGATATGAGTTTAAACAAAGATAACTTAACAAAATAACTATAAAATTGAAAATTATAAAATGAAAAAAATATTGTGAGAAGACATACTGCGAATCGCTCAAAGATTGAAAAGAATAAAAGAATTAAATAAAATCAGGAATATTATTATTAATAATATTATATATAATATTCTATATATAATAAAATTATATAAAATTTCTATAAATTTATATATATATATTATATATAAATTTCTAATATGAAGCAATTACTTAACTTTAAGTTTAATTTACAAAAAAAAGAAACAAAAAATCAATCATTTATAAGGATTTGAATTAAGATAAATAAAAATTTCGAGATGTTATAAAATTAAAATTTAAATGCTTCCTAATAAATTTACAGAATACTTCTCAACTATTAAAATATGCCCGATCGATTATCGATTAATTCTCTACCCATATTTCGTAAACGTTTAAAAAGAGGATTTAAAATTTTAATGCACATTGAAACAATTACATAATTTTTACACATTATGAAAATGAATTTTATCCAGTTAATACATTGTTCGAACCATTGTGGCAACCTCTCAGAAAACACGTATTCGATAAAATTACTCGGGGCTAACTCTAATTTAAGATAATCGAACGAGGCCAGCGAAAGTGATTGTGCTAAACGCAATAAGCGAGGATGCTGGAATAACGCGAGCCACGATTTCCATGGGAAGCTGCACGGTGTGGACATTGACGATGATCGATACGGTGGAGGGTAAGGAACATCGAAGAAGACGCGGGAGTGATAGCGGGAGAGATGAAGGACGACGAGACGGTTATTCTTCTTTGTATGGGGGAACCACGACCGTGTTAGGTGTATAAGATGTATCGAGCAACAAGGACTAACGGCCTTTAATTAATAAAGTTACGGGAACAACTTCTCAAAGTCTTCCTACTCCTTCTTACACGATCCTCCACCAGCTCCCTCCCCATTTCCCTTCCTTTAGAAATTCTCCCATTCCCTCTCTCCTCCTCCAAGAACAAGAAGAAGAGCGCCTCTCTTCTTTATCGTTTCTTCATTCTTCCGCGAGCACTCATCTACAAACTTTTAACCCTTTATTGGATGAAAACTCCACCTTATCTCCAACGTTTACTCGTATTTCCATTAATTATCCTCGGGTAATCGGGGAAACGGGTCTCGTTTTCCATTCCTCGGTTAAATAACGCGTGTACATATACACAGGAATCCGGCCAAGATTGCATCGTGATCAAGCGAGTGAGATATTGAAAAATATCTGAAATTAATAACTTCTTTTTTAATAACGATACAGGTAGAGGAAAAACGATATACGTTACGACCGCACGCGTGCAATTATATATACAAGATTAAAGATACACTAACCTAATAATAATTACACCCCTGTACTTTATGTTGACGTACTTGTAGGTCGAAATGGCTATTCGGTTACACGCGTTATATGTAACTGTTATATATATATGTATATGTATGTGTATATATATATATATAT